CTTCTATAATGGAGCAGTTGGTGACTTCTCCCACTAGCCATGTTCAAGGAAACTCGCACATAGTAGGCCTATAATAAAAGTTTATTGAATCAAATTGAATTGAGCTATTTGGGTGGTATAGTGGACAGTCAAGAAAACCTGAGTTCCAGTCCTCCCTCAAACACTTACTACATTTATGATCCTAAGCAAATCACTTAATCTCTCTCAGCCTCAGTTTCCTAATCTGCAAAATGAGGGGACTATATTTGATGACCTCTAAGGTCCCTTCCAACTCCAAGTCTCTGATTCTATAAAAGTACATTAGTTCAAGGTCACAATTGTACTTTCTGACCCTTAGTCCTCAAACATCCCTATGCCAAGGCCTTGTTGACCACCCTTAAAGCTACATAGTCTGAATGATTCTGTCTTCCAGGACACTGTTGGGTTTCCCAATCCCTTCTTTATTACTGAAAGTACCATTGAACCAATTAACTAAAGCACTGAAGCATTATTGACCACTATATGGACTTATTCCGGAGACTGAATTTCTTAGTCAGTCTCTCCTTGAGCAGTTCTGGGACACTGCTTGTCAACCTAAGGTCTTCCTAAGAAGTTTCTAACTCACACCTTTTGTCACGACAGGGTTGGAAGATCAAAGACATTACATCAGAAGCCGTGGCAGTGGCCAGCCTGGTACTGCCACCCCTTTAGGAGAAGGAAACCTCTGGCTGATCATCCTCCTCTCAGTCTATGGGCTTAGAATTCTTCTGCCACTCACATTACTCAATATATTCTTTCTGGCCCCAAATCTGCCTTACTGTTCCTGTTTTCTAGGAAGTCCATCAGTTACATGGTCAGAGCAACCAAAGTTGCCACATCACTGAGCATAAGATACCTTTCGAATCCTAATTCTCCCTTCCCCCTCCCCAATTAAGAAGTGTATTCGTCTAGTCAAGTCAAGGTTTTTGGTTAGAGATCTTTGCTATGTTCCTATTTTGGGTGTTAAAATCTATTGCTCTAGATTTTTGTAAAAGAAGCAGTGCCTGAGTTACCTATGTTTGTGTTTAGTTCAGTTGTTTATATTTGGATTTTTAAAATGGAATATAATAAAAAATGTTTTAATTCACTAAATGCCTTTTAGAAAAATAAAAATATTAGTGTGCCCTAAGAAACGATGACAATGAAGAATTCAAAGAAGTATGGGAAGACTTCTATGAACTGATCCAGAGTGATATAAGCAGAACCAGGAAAACAGTATTCACAATGACCACAGCAATGAAGAGCATACATACAAATGAAACTGAACTCTGTATAATAATAGTGACCAAGCTTAGCCCCAGAGCAGAGACACTTCCCTTCATCCTTTGCAGAAGTGAGGGACTATAGATATGGAACACTGCTTATGATATATTGGTTGATGTTACTTTTTTTCTCTTTCTTTTTATACTTTGTTACATGAGATCACTCACTGTGTAGGGGAGGAGAGAAGACTATATTCAGAATGAATATGACATAGAAAGCTGATCAATGCAGATTTTAAAATGAAACAAAATAGGAGAGGTCCATGAGTACACCTCTTCCCTGCCCAAGATGATTTTCAGTTGCCAAACTCATCAATATAGGAATCCAACAAGCATCCATCTATCTATCCATCTCATCTGAACTCCAACATGGTTGTAGTCTAATTCCACTTTTGTTGGGGGTTTCTATGGCCAGGAACTCTGCTTCGAATTGCTAGGAGCTCCCCAATGGAGGTCTCTTCTCTTAATATTAGAGGAATTGCCTTCAGCAAGGCATCTTGGTACGGTGGATAATACTCTGAAGCTGGAGTCAGAAAGACCTGGGTTCAAATCTCACCTCAGACACTAGCTATATGTGTAACTTTGGGCCATTCTCTTAATATCTCCCATGCTCAGGGTTTGGGACTCGACCTCCAAAGTATCTTCCAGCTCTAAATCTATTATCTTTCCAGTGCAGTCCCTTTGAACTTCCCTATCATAAAAGCCACCCATACCTGATCTGTCATAAAAGTTAGAGGCTAAGTCTGAAATGCTAGTTTAGAGTTCTTAACTCAGTATCTGGCATCTAGTAGGTGCTTAATAAATGCTTATTGACTGACTTGCATTGGCTGAGTTTCTGTTCTCACTTCTTTTTAAAGATGGGAAATAATACTATAGCAGACTCATGAAAGGTGAGATGGCTGCACCTCAAAATACTGAAGGGGTGACAGATATGAACTGAAAAGGCTACTTTTGCTGAGACACTACCCTGTTCATCACAAGTGTTCCTGTATCTCACTGAGCCTTTGAACTACCTGGTTTGACTTTTCATAGTGATAAGGGAAGGAGTGAAGGTTTATGTTGGGTGTTGATAGGAGGTTGAGCCTGGGACTCTCAAACATGCCCATAGGGTGATTGGGTGGAGTCTCAGTAACACTTGCCACATCAGAAATATAGCCTGCACTGTATCTGAATGGCCTTATCATCACAGATACAGCCCTTACTGGAAAAAAAAAAGCTCTTTTGCAACTGGAAACTTTCCTATTTCCATTATTCACATTGTCATGTTGACTAGAAATGTTGGAATCATCTTTGACTTTTTCCTCTCCTTAGCCTCATGGGATTCAATTCGTTCTGATTTTTACCAGACTAGTCCAGTTCACCACTTGCCCTTTCCATCCACTGCTACCAAAGTAATCTTCCTAAAATAATATTCTCACCACGTCACTCCCTAGCATGAAAATCCTCAGTGCATAGCCTATGTGTAATTCGTAGGCTGATGACCCTAGTAGAGAATGTAAGCTGCTTGTGAGCAGAAATTGTTTCATTTTTTGTATTTTTATACCCACCCAACACCTAGCACAGTGACCTATCACAGACACTTAAGAAATACTTGATAGGGGGCAGCTAGGTGGCACAGTGGATAGAGCACAGGCCCTGGAGTCAGGAGGACCTGAGTTCAAATCTTGGCTCTGTTACTTATTCCCTATATGACCTTAGGCAAATTGCTTTGCCTCTCCAACACTCAGTTTCCTCATCTCTAAAATGGGAGAAATGATACATTTCCTCCCTCCCTCCCAGGGATGTTAGAAAGATAAAGCACTAGGGAAATATCAGAAGTTAACTATTATTGCTTTAGTGCTTTTTGTGAATGGTGATGGTGAGAAACCTGAGAATTTGCCCTTAAATTCACAGGGTTGAGATGATCACAGAATCAGGAAATTTCAGAAAAAGGGGCACTGGCAGCTGTCTTGTCTAGTCTAATTCACACCCCCCAAAGAAATCCCTCCACAACGTGCCTAAAAGTGATCATCATTCAGCTTTTGCTTCAACAAATGGGACCCCTTGACTCCCAACGGAGCCCGATTCACTTTTGGACAGCTCTGATGGTTGGGAAATCCTCCCTGGCATCAAAACTGCTTTGTAATTTAGACCCATTACTACTGGTTCTTCCCACTGAATCCAAACAGAACACATTTCATTCTTTTTCCAGAGGAGAGCCTTTTTCAACACTTGAAGGTGGCTATCTTGTTCACCCTAGGTCTTCTCTTCTCCAGTCAATGGATCCTCATAAGGCATGAACTCATGGGCCTTCATCAGTCAGTTTGCAGTCTGTGCAGTCTGGCTTCTGAACTCATCATTCAGTTGAAACTGCCTTCTCCCAAATTAGCAGTGTGCCTGCCGAGGGTGGGATTACCCTAGGTTTCTGTCCAGGGCTATCTTCTCTTCTTCCATTATACTATTGTCGATAATCTCATCAGCTCCTGTGGATTCAAATATCATTTCAATATTGATGATTTTCAGATCTACTCATCTTGCCCTAATCTCTGGATATGCATTTCTTTCTTTTTTTTTTTTGGATATGCATTTCTAGCTGCTTATTAGATATCTCAAACTGAGTGTCCTATAGATATCTTAAACTGAACATCTTCAAAACTGAACTCATTATCTTTCTCCTCAAACCCCTTCTCATCCCTATTACTGTTGAGTGTACTATCATCCTTCCAGTCTCCCAGGTTGACAGTTTAGGTGTCATCCTTAACCTCAGTCTTATGCATCACATCTAATCTGTGCCAAGATTTGGAGTTGGAGTACATAGAGTCTTAACTGTTTTTGTGTGTATCTGGGATCCCTTTGGCATTCTGGTAAACCCTATAGACCCCTTATCAGACTAATTGAAATAGTTACCAAGTTTTTACAGAACCTGGGTTCATGTCCCCCAGTTTAAGAACTTCTGATTTAGTTCCTCCTTCCTATTTTAGGGCAGCTAAGTGTTGCAATGGTTGGAGCACTGGGCCTAAAGTCAGAAAAACTTATCTTCGTGAGGTCAAACCCTTCCTCAAACACTTACTAGCTGTGTGACCCTGGGCAAGATACTTAACCCTTTTTGCCTCAGTTTCCTCATCTATAAAATGAGCTGGAGAAGGATGGCAGGCCACTCCAGTATCTTTGCCAAGAAAACCCCAAATGAGGTCACAAAGAGTCAGATGTGACTGAACAACAACAATTATCTTGACTTTTGGTTGACTCATGATATTGACAACATTTGAAACCTGTATCAACCGTCTCGACAAGGACAGAAAGGGCACTAGATGAATCAGAGGCCTTGTGTTGGGCCTTGGCACCTTGTCTCTGATGGGCACCCTTCCAGCTTGGTGGAGGGAGGGGGGACGCGGTGTAGAATGTCAAGACCCTTGTGTTGGTTGTCAGGTTCCGCCACCATCCCTCATTATGTTTGCCCCAAGATAAGATGTTTTTGTTGCTGTCCAGGGCTTTTCTCCCCTGATGACAGCCCAGTCTGAACAAAGATCCCTTTTGTAGTTTTGCTGATGCCTCACAGGTTGCTAGGAGAGATTCAGAAAGAGACCAATTACAGCGATGCAGATGGTAGGGATGGTGACGGAATGGCATCCAGAGAACACTGGATTTGGGGTCAAATGGTGGGGGGGATGAGGAGGGGCAGCAAGTGGGGAAAAATGTTTGTGAAGTGATGATGCTTCTTTTTCTTTGGGTGTTTTTCAGGAGTCATGGCTGGTTTCAACATGGGGGGTGACCTTAGAGAGCCCAAATCCAACATCCCGATTGGCTCACTGGCAGCAGTTGGCATCTCGTAAGTTCCCAACTCAGCAGGCAGAGGGAGGAGAGAAACTGGAAGCCAGAGGGAGAGAGAGGAAGGCTTTTCTTTTCTGTTTTGAAGCCTTCCCCCCAACTGGGAGACTGGTCTGTTTCATATTCCAATTTACCCTTTACTACTCAGCCAACTGGAAAAAAAATCAAGTCTGGCTCTTCTTCAAATGATCATCCATTAATACCCTCTGCACTGGCAGGCTCAGGAAGGAGCTTCATTAGTGCAGAAATAGTTCTTCCCTTCTTATCCACCCCCTGCCCCTCCCCTCTCCCCAATACCCCTATTATGAACACAGGAGATTTATTAACCCTGGAGTTTCCAAGATCTCTGAAAGTTTTAAACTCTTATCTTTTCTGAGATAGGGGCCCAGGCTGGGAGCTAAGTGTCAGGAGTCTTGAGTTGCAGCTCAAAGTTATACAAGATCTGTGACCCTGGCCTCTCCTTCATAGGTCTTAGTTTTTCTGCTTGTAAAAAAGGATGATGTTTTTTGTATATAAATGTAAAAAAAATTTTTTTTTCTACTTGTATAATGGGAAGACTCTTCCCTGCCCTAAAATGAGATAACAAATCTGACTGTTTTGAAAAGTAAAAAGGATTATATAAATGCAAATATCTGTTATTATAATTAAATACTGTGATACAGAATAATTGGCATTATTAACATTTGTATACCTATAGTTCATATTTTTTTTTGTTCAGTTTTTTTCAGTCATGTCTAACTCTTTGTGACCCCCATTTGGGGTTTTCTTGGCAAAGATACTAGAGTGGTTTGCCATTTCCTTCTCCAGCTCATTTTACAGATGAGGAAACTGAGGCAAACAGGGTTAAGTGACTTTCCCAGGATCACACAGCTAGTAAGTATCTAAGGCCATATTTGAACTTAGGAAGAGGAGTCTTCCTGACTCCAGGCCCAGCATTCACCAAACTGCCCTTGTTTAGATATTAGTTCATCATAATAATATGACCCTATTGGCCAGGTCCATTTTAATTACCTATTTGGGCAGCGGAGATTTATTATTATTAATTTTAATTAATACTTAATAAATTTTAATTAATATTAAAAATGCACACAAAATACTTTTTTTTAATGAAACAAATTTAGAAGATGTTTAATCAGGCTCAAGTTGTATAGCTTACAAGCATGGAAGCAAAAAAGGTGAGGGGGAAGATAATCTAAGATAAATCAGATTTACCCAAGGATTAGATGGGATTTGATCTCAAGGGGATTAAATGTGATAATATATATGAAGAGGTATAGAACCATAAAACAGTATATAAATATGAGTTACTATTATTCTATTCTATTTCATTCGATAAATATGTATTAAATGACTTCTGTTTCTCCTGCATAGTATGTATGCTGGAGCAATAAAGACCTGATCTAGCAGGCCTAGGTTGTGTCCCAGGATAAGTGAGCTCCATGTTGTCATGAGTATCACCTTCTTTCTTCAGACTCATTGTTTTGACTTTCCCAGACCCGTGCAGTGTCCTCTCTGCGAATACTCTGCCCAGTGCCCTGGCGTCTTGAGAACTTGCCAAATTCTGTTTATTTTTTTACACAGACTTATTTTGTATTACTCATCTGTGTACATGTTTGCTCCAAATAGAGTGTAACCCCCTTGAAGGCAGGGGTTTTTGTTTTTGTTTGTTTCCACCATTGCCTACAACAGTTTTTGAAACTCAGTAGAACTTCATAAATGCTTGTTGAATGAATGTATTCCTCTAGCCTGCTTTTGGGAGGTCATTCAGCCTGAGGTCCCCTGGCTTCTCCCTCATCATACCCCTACTCTCTTTTTTCCTTTCTATTCTATCTTCTCTACTTATTTTGTAGTATTAGTCTATTGTAATGTAATGAACTTTTGTAGGAAATATTGCCTTTATAGAGGCATGGTAGATAGGAGGCTGAAATTGAAGTCAGGAATACCTGGGTTAAAATACTGCCTGTGACATTTAGTAGCTGTATGACCCTGGGTAAGTCACTTAACCCCAGTTGCCTTTCTCCTCCCCCTAAAATATATTGCCTGTAACACTTAGGAGCTGTATCTGCTAGCCTTTCTTTGCCTCAGACATCTCCCTAGGATAGATTTACTCAGCTCCCCACATTGAAGGAGTCATAGATCGTTCTCTCTTGTTTTGAGTTCCTCTTTTTAGAAGAAAAACTACTAAGATTACTAAATGTTTTATTTCTGTATTGCCTCAATTAATGTTTTAGTTCCAACTTTTCTCATGTTCTTTGTGTTATGAAAGACAGGAGATAAACACATTTTTACAGTAGGCAACAATGTCCTAACTAGTTTTTCTTTGCAGGTGGTTTTTCTATATCATCTTTGTCTTTCTACTGGGTGCCATCTGTACCAGGGAGTCCCTTCGATATGATTTCATGATAGCAGAAAAGGTAAGTCTCAGTGCAAGAATGATTTTGCCAGGACTGTCCCTCTCCAGTGTATATGTTGATATTTTGCCAGGACTGTCCCTCTCCAGCGTGTGTGTGTGTGTGTGTGTGTGTGTGTGTATACATATATATGTGTATATATATACACATACACACACATATATACATACATACATACATATATACATATACATATACATATATATATATATATATATATATATATATATATATATATATATGTCCATTTAAGGGGAGGGTGATGGGAAAAAGGCAGCTTTTCATCTTCCAGCTCTAAATCTTATGCTCTTGGTACTTTGTGCCAGGCAGAGGTCTAGGGACCTTGACATCACAAAGGAAAGGAAAGGCCCAGTCTTTAATTTCATGTAGCTACTAGATTCTGCACAGGGTTGTTGGTACAGTGAAATGTGAGGAGGTACATGAAGATCTTTGTGTATATGTATGAGTTATTTTAAAATGCAGTCCAATAAATTTTAATTAGATGCTGACTATGTGGAAGGCACTGTCCTGGAAGCTGGAGATAGATATGACACAGACCCTATTCTCCAGGAATTTACAGTCTACAGGGCAAAAGCACATAGATGACAATACAACCGAGAGAGAGATAAGTCCAAAGGAGAGGCCCAGGGAAAGTGCTATAAGAAATTTGGGAAGGGAGAGATCCCTTTTCACCTGAGAAGGGAGAATTAGGGAAGGCTCTGGGGAGGAGATGGTATCTGTATTGAGTCTTGGATAAAAGGAGGTGCTTCAAGAGTCTTCTAGACTTGGAAGTGATGAGGCTATCACTTAACAATAATCTGCTTTCCATCACCAATGACCGTAGGAAGAAGGAAAAACCTTGGAGGTTGAAATCTACAAGGAATTGAAACACTTTACACTAACCAATGGTTCCAACCTCTGCCATCAGCAAACCTTTCTCCAGAGCTGTGTGTAAGAAGCTGTGATTTTCCTGTCCTCCCTTTACCCCTACCCACACTCTGAGGAAGAAGCCAGTGAGCAGAGAAAGGAGAAGAGTGAACAAGAAGAGGAAGGACCTTAGAGATAGGGTGAAGGCAAAGACCCCAACTAGGGCGGAGGCCATGGACTATGGTATGAGCCCTGTTCTGACTTCTCCAGGACATTGTGCTCGCATGGAAAGTCTCTGCGGTGCCCAGTGTTTTTCTTGGCTGGGCAAGTACCCCTTTATTTTCAGATTTAGTGCACTGTGCACTGAGAGGAAGGCTAACAAGATTAGGGAATTCTGTACATTCCACAGTGGCATGTTTTAGCAAACAGGTTTTCAGCAGGCCTCATCTAGCACCATTGGAAACTCAAGACTTGTAAATATCTTGCTATTTCTCAGGGCTCTCCATAACAGTCCCTTCATCCCTCCTTGGGTTCCTAGAAGAAAAGAGGGGCCTGAGATACCCTGCTAATTTCAGAGAAGCTCAGTGGGGTGAAAGATTCTCACTAGCCATTTAATTTCTGGGCTTTATTAGGTTTGGATTTATTATGTTTTCCCTTCTGTGGGATGAATTGCAAGGAAACTCTGCTCCTGGTCTTCATGAGATAGAATACAAATGAAACTCTCTTCCCTTCCTCTTCCCATTCCCCCTCTAGTTGTTATTGTTGTTTAATCATTTTCAGTAGTGTCTGACTCTTCATGACCCCATTTGAAGTTTTCTTGGCAAAGGTATTGGAATGGTTTGCCATTTCCTTCTCCAGCTCTTTTTAGCAGATGAGGAAGCTGAGGTACACAGGGTTAAGTGACTTGCCCAGGGTCACACAGCTAGTAAGTGTCTGAGGCCAAATTTGAACTCAGGAAGAGGAGTCTTCCTGACTCCAGGCCTAGCACTCTATCCATTGTGCTACCTAACTGCCCTAGGTTCCCCCAGCTTCCCATTTCCTCTCTGTCCCCATTTAGGAAACCCTGGTCAATGAAAGTTTGTAGTTGTACAACAATTAAATTAAGGAAAGATTGTTCATGATAGAAAAGGATTCTTCCCTGTCTGTCCCTAGGCACAATTGTGGAGAAGCCAATTGTCCTCATTACCTTTCCCTCCTGCCTAAAATCGAGCATCATGTGTCAGGGACTGGCCAGTCTCCCTGTCCATCCCTCTATCAAACCAAGCCCTTATAAAAGGAGTTGATAAAGTCATTTATCTCTTAGTATAAATGAAATCCCTCTCCCAGGGATATTTTCAATTTAACTCTTGTCTGTAATCAGGGAATAAAAAGTTTTGTTCTTTTCAGATGAAAGGAATTGCAGGCATATGTGAACAAATGGAGAGACATATTCTGGGGGTAAAGGGACCTTCTTGCCCCTTAAATTCCACCAGGGAGAAGGCTACTGGATATACCTTTGTAGAATTATAGATTCTCAGAGTTGGAAGAGACCTCAGGTTTTAAATTACTACATAATGAAGGGTACCCTCTGTGATAACCCTTATGTGTAGCCGTCTAGCCTTGATTCAAAAGAAGCCTGGCCTTGAAGTTAGAGATTGTTGTATAGTGTCCAACTCTGCTTGACTCCATTTCATTAGTAACAACACTGGAGTGGTTTGCCATTTCCTTCTCCAGATGAGGAAACTGAAGCAAATGGGGTTAAGTGACTTGCCCAGGGTCACATAGATAGTAAGTATCTGAGGCCAAATTTGAACTCAGGCCTTTCTGACTCCGGGGCTGGTGCTGTATTCACTGCATTACCTAGTGGACCTAAAGTTAGAAGATCCAGCCTTAGATCGCACATCTTATGCCTATTGACTGTGTGATCATGGGAGAGTCACTTAACCTCCCTAGACCTCAGTTTCCCCATCAGTAAAATTGGACTAGAGAGCCTCTGAAGTTCCTCCCAGCTTTAAATCTATGATCCTCTGCTCTATAGTGATGGGGAACTCATTACTGCACAAGGCAGCCCAATCCATTGTCAGTTCTTACGATTAAGAAATGCTTCAATGGAGTGAACTGAAATCATTCTCCCTGTAATTGCCACACTGATCCTAATTCTCTTCTCTGGAGCCATAGAGATTAAGACTATTTCCTCTTGTTTGAAACATCCCCAATTCCTTAAATTGATCCTTGTATGACAGTTTTTTGCCCCTGCATTATTCAAGGTGTCCAGACACCTTGAGTTTGTTAACGTTCTTAAAAATGGTCCCCAGAACAGAACACAACTCTCAAGAAGTGCTCTGATGAGACAGGTGGTTTCCACTCTTATCAAGGCTGACCTTGTTTCTTTTTATAACAGAATTCACTAGAGAGTCCCTCTGAACCTTTAAAAAGCTGCAATCTAAATGGAAGAGCCTTAGCAGCCCACCACGGGCAGGAAGAAGGCAGAACCAAATAAACAGGGATAGATAAAAAAAATTCTGTCAAACAAAGGAAGGACCATGGAGTCTCTGTGGGTGGAAATTCCATGCTCAAATCATAGAGATGTGGCAGGAGGGCTTGACTAAAGATCCTTTGACTAGCATAAGGAAACTGAGATGAAAATGTTTAATGGGGTTAGGGAAGCTTCTAAAATAGGCCAGGTAGGAGGGATGGGGAGAAGTGAATTACACACACACACACACACACACACACACACACACACAAACACACTAGAATAGCTCATTTAGGATGAGATATGGAGATAAGGTTTCTAGATAGGCCAAATGACTGCTTCCTGACACAGGTAGATGTAGAGCCCACAAAGGACGGAAATATACAGCTTTGGGTTCTGAGTAGTGAGCAGGAACTGGTACAGGAAGTATCTGTGGGTGAACTATGACAAACCCACCCTAGGCAACTCTCCCAACGCAGACTCCTCGGCAGCCGGCTTCTGGTGATTTCCACTGCCACCACCCAGGAGAATTCCAGAAGGGAGGAAGAATCTCTTTCCTTCCAAGACTGTGACCTTGGGACCGAGGTCTTTCCCCTTAACTTTTCCTTAGCTCCCATCTTCAGTATTGGTACACAGGAGAAAGCACAGTGGAATTGGAGTCAGACAACCTGGGTTCAAAGCCCAGCTCTACTAATCTATGTGATTTGTGATCTGATCAAATCACTTAACCTCTCTGGGCCTCAGTTTCCTCATTGGTAAAATGAAGGGGTTGGATTAGACGACTTCCAAGGTTCCTCATGGCTCCTGGCATCTGGCAACTTGTAGATGCTTGTGGTTATTCAGCTGGTCAGTTATGCCCAGCTCTTCAGGATCCCATGGCCCACAGCATGCCAATACAGTCCATAGATTTTTCTTGGCAAAGATACTGGAGTGGTTTGCCATTTCCTTCTCCAGTGGATTAAGGAAAACAGAGGTTAAACAACTTGTCCAGGGTCACACAGCTAGTGAGTGTCTGAGGTCAGATTTGAATTCAGGTCTTCTTGATTCCAGTAGATGCTTGGTAAATGCTTATTCACAAAGGTCAATCCTTCTACTTGTTTATGTTCTCAATCCCAGATCTCTAATTTTCAACCTCTCTTGATCCAGTGGCTCTTTCCTGGTTACCTCCAAACACATCCCAATCTCTGCTTTAAAAGTCTTCACTGGAACTAAAATGTCCATGCTGCTTACCCCAGAGATTCCTCTACTATACCCCAACCGGCTCTTCCCCCAAAAAGGTCATTGATAAGGAGTTTCCAAATTTCCCAAAATATCTCTAGCAGCACTTTTTTTGGGGGGGGGGATGGCAATAGGTGATAATAATAATAGCTAGCATTTATATAATGCTTACTAGATGCCAGACGCTGTGCTAAGCTCGTTACAATTATTATTTCATTTGATCCTCACAACAAACTTGGGAGGTAGGTGCTGTTATTTAAATTTTACAGATGAGGAAACTGAGGCAAACAGAAGTTAAGTGGCTTGCCCAGGGTCAGAGTGTCTGAGGTTAGATTTGAACTCAGGTCTTCTTAACTCCAGGCTCAGTGCTATATCCACTGGCCCATCTAGCTGACTGATTGATAAGGAGAGAGGATTGTGTGCCCATGTCTCTTTCTACCTCCATCCTTTTACATGGGGCTCA